CCTCCATCGCATAGTTAGACCCTACTGGAGGATCAAAATTTCCAAAATTTCATCACGCTCAAACCCATTTAGCATACCCCACCGGATTACTTTTAGTTACCAAATTCTGAGCTAAATCAAGTCCTTTGAATAATACTGCCGACGACCACACATATGCAAAACCAAGTGCGCGTCAGCTTGCGTTCAGGCCTGCTTTTTTCAGCTGTAATATAAAAGCCGCGGAAGTAGGGTGTGCACTTGATGACCTCCCTCCTTTCTCTCCCCTCTATCATAATTCACTGGACGGAGATTGCTGCAAAACCGGGGGACCATGAGGGAATCGAACCACCCATGCTTACACCTGTACACAACGTGCCACCCACTACACTATCCGTCCTTGGTACATTATGATCAGCCTGGCAGCACATCTACCGCCTATGCCTTTCAAGGCAAAATACACCTTCCCGTAACAAACGTTCGTCTGTTCTTTGTAGCGAATTCTACGCGGGTTTTCACTACACTTCTGCCAGAGAGATGACAAGACCCAAAAAACACGCGAAGGACTCCACCATCAATAGCGTTAGTCATTTTCCCTAACCATTCTCTCGTCTTCTAATACAATCACTATTAGAAAGTGTACTGTTAAATCGTACTCTTTTGAATCAAATTATACAATGCTCTTTTTGTTCAGTCAAAAGATTCGTGAGTAAAACAATGCTGGGAGACACGCAACATCACAAAAGCATGGCAAATGGCCATTTGCAGTGGACAAGCATGAAATGCGACGTAAGAGTTACGAAGTACCGTTTTCGTGAATGCATAGCCATAGAAGTATTAAAGAAACGGAAAAAAAATCACCTAAACAAAGCAGGATCACCAAACACTTGAAAAAAAAAAACCATACCTTCCACCTCGTCCCATCCTTCGTCTTGTGTAACCAATACATCGAACGCCATTCGCAGTCGGCATGAACGTTCGATGGAAGCGCTCCGCAGGAGATATTCGTGGCGCTGAAAAAAGGGTTCTGAATGACACTCACATTAAAGCTCAAAGCCCTTCGTTAAGACACTGCATAAATGCAATTTAACAACACAAACCCAAACACTATTACAATCACGAAAGAAAAAAATAATCACTGGGCTCTGTGCCCATTCATCGACTACCAATTCCACAAAAGCACTGCTTTGAGAAATTATCAAACAGGGACAGGGGAAGTAGGCACAGACATTTACCCAAAAGTTCATGCTTCACAAAACTTTTTGGAAGCTCACAAAACGTCAGGCAGCTGCATGAAAGTTTCACGTGGACTTCTACTGA